CCCGCCATACATGAAGGAGGCCTGGCGCGCCGAGCCCCTCCACGCCAACCACCAGGGGCGGCCCTTGGAGGATCTGCTGCTGTCAATGGCGGGCCCCGCCCCCTCAAGATTGGACCTGTCGGGCGACGACGAGGCGTACCACGCGTTTCTGGATCGGTTGATCAGCAGCAGCGGCGGCGGCGGCGGCGGCAGCCGCGGGGCCAGCCCATCGTCGTCGCTCGACGAGCAGCCGGCGGCCGACGCCGCGGCCGCGCGCGCGCGCGCGGCGCGGAGCGACATGGTCGGGTGCGGGCGCGCGGGGGGCGTGCGGGCGGCGGACGGGGTGGGGGGGAGCCACATCCTGCCGATATACCCAGGGGCGGACGCGTCGTTCTCGCCCGTGTGCACGCACGTGCCGACCCTCAACAAAGGGCGGCAGGAGGGCTTCGAGTCCATGCGGCGCGTGCTGGTGCCCGCGCTCGCGGCGCCGCCGCGCGCGCGGTGAGGGCGGGCGCGACCCGCGGCTGCGGGGGACGGCGGGGGCCCGGCGGGCCTGCCGTCGGCGGCGGCGCCGCTGCAAAAGGGTGGCGTGCCGCTGGCGGCCCTCGGGCGGCCGCCCCTGTGATTCGCTGCAGAGGACCTTCCCTATCAAAGCATCCAGAAGACAATCTAGCAGAGGGCGTGCGGCACCGAAGCGGCTGACGAACCACAGTCCGGGGACTGCCCCCCGTTCAAGACTGCATGAGCGCACAGCACCCTGCCCGCCCTCCTGTCACGAGGACCCCTGCGCGGTGCCGCGGCCGCGGCCATGAGCGACGCCGCGCGCCGCGGCCGCGAAGGCGGACCGTGAATGGGGGCGGCCTATCTTTTTGGCTAGGAAACGACGCGCTGGGCGTGCGGCGCTGTTGCGCGCCGCCCTCGGCATGCACGTTCCTGCCCGGTATGCGGAGCGCCTCAAGAGCACGGCCATCGCTCGCGCCGCTAGCGACCCCATAGCTTGCATTTCGTTCAATTTTATCCGGCCCCGAAGCTGGCTGGACCAACCAGGCGCGCCGCCTTTGTACACACACCCCCGACCCACCCCCTGGCTCTTTATTCGAACCGAGCACAGCACCCACTTGAGCGCCTGGCAGCTTCTCAGCGCCTCTGCCACTTAGTCAACCTGCCTGGCCTCTGCGCCTCGCTACGTCCCGCCGCGCCGCTGCCTGCCGGCCGGACGGCCGGCTGGCGGGCTTCGTTTTTTCGCGCATCCCGCCCCCTTGCGTCCGGCTCTCTGCCCGGCTCTCTGCATCGGCAGGGCTGCGCGCGTGGTGGGGCGTGCGTGCGCGCCACACGCCTGCCTGCGCCGCCCTGTGGTGTGCCGCGGTGGGCTGGATCCCCCCCTCCCAACTTCTTCCCACGCGCCACACGGGCCCATTCTCAACCCGCTGTGTGAGCGCGCGCGTGCAGTTGAGCCCGCCGTGGCGACGCCGCGCGCGGCTGTATGCGCGCGCGGCGCTGCGCCTCGGCCCGCGCTTTGGGCCGGTTGCCGGCGGACAGGCGTTGAATGTGCCCCCACCGGCCGCCTGGCGCTCACCAGCCCGCGCAGCGGTGCGACGCCTGCGCTGTGCGGGCTGCCTGGGGCGCGTTTGCCTGTTGTGCCTGTTGTGTTGTCGCTCGCATTGACGCGCCTGCATGTGCCTGCTCTGCGGCAGAGGCTGAAAGCTGAGTGACTGAAGAGAAGGCAGGGCCTATTTCGCACCAAGGCACCCCGTGGGTTTGCCGGACTACATGAAAGCAGTCCAGGACTGTCTGCATTCGCCAGGGGGCAGTCCCCGCCGCCGACGCCACTGGTGACTCATGATGGTACCCTGCTCGGGTGACTCATGATGACATCATCACGTGGCGCCGGCGGTTTTGGGGACAGAGCAGAGCGGGTGGGGCCGCAGAGACTGCGGCACCACACGCACACTCAATCCAGGGGTTGCAGATCGGGCGACGCGCAACCGCCCGCCGTCGTGTGCCGTCCCTCGTGTCGCGTTGTTGATTGTCTCTAGCGCCGCGCTTCTGACCCGCCCCTTTGTCTGATAGGCCCGCCGGGACTGTGCACCGGCGGCGGCGCGTCCTTTTTCGACGTTGCGCCATGCAGGGAGCGCGCTGACCCGGCTGGCCATGTCAGATGCGGCGTGGTCATGGGCCGCTCCGCCCCTCTTTTTCCCCCTCTGTTGACCCTCTGTTGACCGGATGAGACCCGACAGGCTCGTACTGGACCGGCTCCCCCAGGCCTGAAACCCTGTGGGGCTGCGCTGCGCCTTTCGTCTCATCCGCTCAAGAGGGTGCGCGGCTTATGCTGTGCACGGCTGAGCGCAGCGCTCAGTGCGCTGCGCTCCGATCGAGCCGTTTCAACGTTTGGAGCCCCTCTTGTCTGGGTTTTCCCTCTGTCCCCCTTGTTATTAGGGCCGGTCGGTCTGTGTAACCCTTTGCCTATTCTTCTGCCGCAGCTGCCGCCGACTGGACCTTGTAACCGGCGGCCTGCTGCCAGGGGTTGCTCTGGAGGCCTATGCCTCAGCAGCTGCCAAGGCGTACATCAGTGCTCGCAGAGCGAGCGCCCGTGAGCACACCCCAGCTGTTTGCCCCTTGCAACGTCGTCACATGCACCACACACTGAAGCTTGGTTGGATTGGCACCTGGGCTGCAGGGCCAAAGGCGGCGCGATACAGTGCAAAAGGGTAACAAATGCGTCGTGGCAGTGCAAGGTCCGTCTGTGTGCAAATGGCAGCGGCGCCGGCTGGCCGGAGAGCCAGGCCGAGCGCGCATGCGCGTGCGCGCGCCCACCCCACGAGCCCAGACGCGCCGCGGGCGGCGGCGGCCGCGTCGCCCCACGCTCAGCGGGGGCGCGGGCAATGCAAGGTGAGAGAGGGCCGGTCAGACAGGAACAAGGTTGGGCAAACAGGACATCACATTCTTTGGAGCCTTTGCGGCCGGCGTTGGACAAGGCAGTTGCCCCATGGCACTGCAAGCGGGGGCCCAGCTCTGGCCCGCCCCGACGAGGGGAAAGCAAGGGGCAGATGGCTCAACGAGCGAGGGGGGCTTGGGCGCGCGCTGTTCAAGAGCGGGACCCCGCGCACGCGCCCTGCAACGGGACGCCGGTTCGCAGGCGCGCCACAACTAGCACGCCATCCGGGCCCGTTGGGGCCGTGCTCGCCCACAATGGCATCAGCATTTTGAAGCGGCGAAACCGCCGCCGCCCCCGCATCAGCAGCCCCTTACAAAGCGGGGGCAGTCAAGCCTGCCCCCAAGGCATCTGCCACAGGCGGCAGCCGGGCACAGGGGGGCGGCGCGTGGGTCCTGAGGCCAACAGCTGCCCGAGCATGGTCAAAACAGGTGTGTGAGAGTACGTGGTGGTGGGGGGCAAAGGGGAAGGGGAGGAGGGTGGGGCACGCGCGCGCCCGCCCCGCGGGATGGCCGTTCCTCATGCGACGTCCGAGATGCTCGCGTTGCTCAGGACCGGGGGGTCGGTGAGGAAGCCGCCGCGCAGCTGGTGGTGCGTCTGCTGGGCGGCATCTGCGCGCATCATGGCGCAGAACTCTTCGTAGTCGATGCGGCCGTCCTTATCCTTGTCCACCTCCGCCTGTGGGTTTTGCGCATGGATGTGATTCATGGTTTGGGTTGTGTGTACACGATTGTGATTTGATGCAGTGTGTGTGCGCGTATTGTGTGCATGTCAAAGCGACTACGTGTGTTTGCAGGGGGGGGGAGTGTCAAAAGAACGGAGCAGAAGCATGTGTGTGTGTGTGTGTGTGGATATGTGTGTGTGTGTGTGTGTGTGTGTGTGTGTGTGTGTGTGTG